GCTGTTGCCGATAATGTTGTAGTGCTAAGTTTGATTAACGGTTGGTCTGTCAGCCAGCATAACAAACCACAACTTACTTTTTTGGTAAATGAGAGGTTTTTTCTTTGATAAAGGTTTGTGGGCATAAATGTCGAGCAAATTTTTCTCCTACGGCTGGAGGCGCCCTGCCCCGGATCCCGTTTTGATCTTGACTAGTGTGTTTTGGAATGCATTTTTTCGACTGAACCAGTGAATATTGTAATACATTCCATGCGGTAGATATGACAACCCCATTAGAGGTAAGTGTGTTCATTGCATATTACAATGGCAAGACTCACAAACCCTGAAAACTAGAATGTCAACGACATGACACTCGCAGCACCATGAATAACTAAAGATCTTATTAAACTTTGTAGGAAGATGAACTAATCCCTCTTGAAGAGCTCTCGGTGGAGAACCAGAAGATTGTCATCTCTGATGATTTGCTTTGTGAAAGCAACCAAAATGCAATCATCAGCTATTTCATTAACGGTCGGCACCGAAACTGCTACGTAATTTATCTCACACAAACTTACTTCAAGGCGCCAAAAAACATCCGTGTCAACTGCAGTCATTTTTGTATTTTTAAATTCCTTCCGAGAGAAAACCACCGAATTGCAGGTGAGTCGGGGATCGATAAACAAATTTTGGAAAGAGCAACAGACAAACTGTACTCATTTTTGCAATGGACAAACCACAAAAAAAACAATGAAAAAAAATTCGACAAAAATATATAGTGGGGTACATCAACAGCACGATTGATGACACGTCGAGTTCCACCGGCAAGACAGGCCCACCTGGTCCCGCATGGTCACAAGGCCCACCAGGCGCCCAAATGCCCCGAGGACCTGAAGGAACACACGGCCCACAGGTGGTACAAGGGGCCAAAGGCGATACAGGCCCATGGGGGTTTCAAGGACCAAAAGGAGATAAAGGGGAACAGGGTCCCAAAGGTGAGGCAGGATCACAGGGGGTCCAAGGCTTAAAAGGCAACACAGGTGCTGAAGGGCTTAAGGGTGGCACAGGTGCACAAGGCCCCAAAGGTGACACGGGTGCCCAAGTCCCCAAGGGTAATACTGGTCAGTAGGGCCCCAGGGGTGATACAGGAGCACAAGGCCCACATGGTGCTCAAGGGCCAAAGGGTCATAGGTGCACAGGGGCCGCCCGGACGAAAGGGCCCTCCAGGTCCAAAAGGTAAGAGTGGCGCCATCTAACCCTCCCATACAGCCAAAAATTTATTCCAATACCTGATGAAAGATGTCAATGAATGGAGCACCGAGGATAGTGTAAATGTCATGAAAATCGACGACCTGAGCATCTCACCGCATTAATAGGAAAAAAAAGTTCTCTTCATCACATCAGTCAAGAAGCCAAATTTCGGTTATACGTTCCGCCTTGGACTGCAGATGTATCGCATGGCGACAAACCATGAAAGCATCATCGCAATTGAGTTCTACAACAAGGACGCCCTGACCTACAGGAAAAGCAAAATATACATTCAAGGGACTGGAGTGTGGATTGAAGGGCACGAAACAAAAAAATACACTTACAGGGATGGCCGGACAAATTTTCTCTATTACGCAAAGATAATGGCAAAGTTCAAGAAAACCTCCGGCAGCCCGCCTGTTTCCTGTATTTCATGGTGGACTATGAGGGCAAGAATGGTGACCTTGACAGTTATCCTGACAATTTTGCCGACGACGTGTACATAGTTGCATATGGAGTTGATGGCCTGGTGGATACCGTTGACAGTGAGGTAGGTCTACGACACATACAAGGCTTATGGAATTACTAAAGCGGAAATGAGCATGTTCGTTCCATTGAATATGAATGGTGAATAAATTCAAAACACCCCTTCCATGAAACCACAATTTTTGTTTTTTACCGGGAAGTATCTCAACCGGCGCGGCGCGCGTTTGACGATAAATACGTATTTTTTTGGAAGAACTAGCGTTGTAATGACCCCTGTTAAATGTAAAATGACAAAATATATATTTACGATTCATTTTTGCGGTTTCGTTACACTTTGTCTTTGATCGTAGATAGCGTTGATCCAGGAACACAACACTCAAGATCATACTCGTACGCAGGAAACAAGGGGCATTTCAAGTTTTTAACACAAATTTAGTTGTCTCTTCCGGAAAAGTAAAAAGAATTTCGCTTAGAAATGAAAACCAAAACCTCCCAGTCCTGACAACCAACGCTGATCTTACCGTTTTGTTTGATGTTCAATCTTAGGGGCCCTTAATGTTTCTGTTTTTTTATATAACACCAATGGTTGACTCACCGAGAAACATTTTCGACTTCAACCACATCGACACAACCCTGTCCAAAGGGAAGCGGAACATGTTGAAAAACCTTTACACCCACTACTACAAAAAGGATTACGGCTACGAAAAGCTGTACCGCAGCTACCAAAGAAAAAAATCTGATTTGCCACGTTGTTGCGGGCAAAGCCGTGATAACTGCAGCGGTTGCCGGAAATATAACTTTGAACCCCATTGTGCTCGCTTCTCTGAGGGCGTTTGGCGTAATCGTCAAAATTGTGGCAAGCGCAACGAAATACGACAAAAAATCGAAAGAGCCAACTTGGCACTTGCGGAGTATAAAAAAATTCTTGATCCGGTTTTACCTCAGAAGGGACCCCTTCGACAAGCTGAAAATGATTGACGACTTCGTCAGCGACCACTGCATGAAAATTCTAAATCAGATAAGCAGAAAGTATGACAAACTTTTTCTTGCATTATAATATAGGAATGCCAAATCTTTTTACTCTGAATATCTTCACGGTGCTTAAGGTCTGCTGGATGACCGCAGTTGCAGCGGTGATTGTCTCGATTAAGCCGCAAGTCATCGTTTCTTGGCTGTTGGCAGTCGGATGGAACAATCAAAAGTTCGAACCGTAGATTAATATAGGATGGACGAAAAACTTTCGAAAATTTACTTCAGCCCTCAAAGCTATTGGAAAGGCATCGCTGCCATCAAAAAGCTTGCAACCGCTGGAAAATGCGAAAAAATGGCTAATGTGGCAAGCCCTTTGGCAAATATATCTTCCTGCGCCAAAATACATTTCTCGGCCCAAGTTCCACGTGCCCACGCCAAACAAAGTTCACCACTTCTGTAGAGCTGACTTACTTTCTTACCACACGACACTCTGGGCCGAGGGTAGGGCCGAAGAACTTACAAATATACGTTAACAGTCGTCAACGATGCCAGCCGCTACAAAGAAGCTGAACCCCTGTCTTCAAAAGAGGCTACAGAGATTTCTGACGCCTTTCTGAGAATTTACACTCGTGGACCACTGCGGTGACCAGAACTCTTACAAGTCGACCCGGGCGGGCGAGTTTATGGGTGCTGTTACCAAGCTTATGAAAGAAAATGGGACAACTATTCGCTATGGCCCGGTGGATATTCACCCGGACCATCAGGTGATCGTGGAAAGATTTAACCGCACCCTTGCCGAGCGCCTGTTCGGACACCAGTATACTGTAGAAATGCGGCTTTCTAAGGGTCAAAGATCTTCCGAATGGGTTGTTCGGTTTCCTGCCGAAGTCTCGGCTTCAGAAACGGCGAAGTCACTCGCCTCACAGGCAAAAAACCTGCACAAGCCATAAAAAAGCCCGTTTATTTCAAGCCTTCGACCTCTTACCACAGACCTGTCTGAGTGAACGGAAAAAAAATTCCCACCTTTGTTTTCGTGCGTTATCTTTACCAAAGGGGTGAACTGGAAGGCGGTCGCAAAGGTGCAACTGATCCCATCTGGATCACCACCTACAACATCGAAAAATCTGTTACCAAACCAGGTAAACCGGTATTGTATTATGTACAGGATGGGCCAAAACGAGGCTTCGTTCGTGAGTAGTTGTTGGTTGTGGCCCCTTACTCTTTTCTTCCAGTCCAGCAACTCCATGACATACTCTTCGTCTGTTAATCGGTATCCGTACGCATGTGCATCAATGCCGTTTTCTGTGATGTATCGCTTTGAATCAAATGGGATCAGCGAGATTTTGTTCGCCCTCACCCCATAAATCCCATGCCCCTCGCTTTGGAGCATGTTCATTTCATGCCTGAAGATTTTTTTTTGCCAAACAGCGCTTCTTTGTAATGCTCATGCTTGCTTCCTTTTAACCACATATTTTTTGTACCTTTCGACTTTTTAATGTTTTTTTCCTCCGACGGAACGGATTACATTTTTGGTCGAAGACCAACAAACTCAATGATGGGCGTTCGGTTCATTTCATCTTTCATCTTACACAAAGCGTTTTTGCTTTAGGTGCTATGGAGGAGAAGACTTTGGGGTAATCACATGTGTCATACAAGTGTTTGTTACTTTCCATGTCGTAGGTCTGTGCCTCAAGCACAAGGCTCTCTGTGTCGGTATAGAAAAGCTCTCATTTAGAACCGTACTGCCGCTCTTGAGATGATTATAGTAAAAATCATAAATGAAAAAAAAAACAGGTTTGCTCAGTTTCACACACGCCTTGTGCATTCTGAAACCGGTAAGATGGTTGGAAAACAACCTGCACCCGGTGAGTAGAGGACTCGCTATCAGTTTGCGAATCTTCTCTTTTTTATCACTGCGGACGATTTTGGTGTTAACACGCTTCCGCACGTTCTCTATCGTTTTCCCAAACACGCTGACGTTCATGAGTTTCTAAAAGTTATTTTTAAACTCGTTTTGTGCCTGCTTTCGGATTCTGTATTCATGTGGATGTGCGATGCCATCCAACACTCTTGATCGAATTCCAACGCCCTGTGGACCTTCTTTAGTTTTATACCCTGGTTGAGATAAAACTGAAGGTTTTTGTAGTGCAAAACATAGTTTTTCGTGTCTTGCAGCGTCAAGACAAGCTTTTTTTCATTCTGTTTCAGCCCCAACTCATCCACCATGTTTTTTGGTAATCAGACAACCATTCTCTCTTGATTTTTGTTTTCTCTGGAGCGAGTGGATATCCATTGTGCGTTTTGTGATGCTCCGTCGGTTACTCCAAATCCACCTCGAGAATCAATCCTCGCTTTGCTTCTTCCTTTTTGGCGAGGATTGGCTTTTCCGTTAGGCAACACAGTGTTCCATGCAAAATTACCCTTTGGAAGAGGTTTACACATGGCCCCATGGCCCAACAGTAAAGGTTATTTGCGTCAAGATATAAAATGTAATTGTTTGGTTTGTTTGGGTCGTAATCTTTCACACACGGGTTGTTGGCTTTTGCAAAGAGCTTGCTCACCATCGAGATTCCGCCTCGTGTACCTTGCTCTTCCATGGAAGACGGTTAGTCTCAAAACGCAACACTCTCGTTGCGTAATCAAGTTTTCGAATCCGAAACAGACATCAGGGAGTAAAAAGAGAGAGGGGCGGCGCACAGCGGAAAAGAGCGCACCCCACTAATTCACGCGCGCTGGCGTTTCGCTCGCTCTACTATCCCTGAGGAAAAATGGGGGACTACTCGTAGTCTAGCATCCTTTGGAAGCATTTTTAGAAGGGAATCCAATGATGCTTGCAAAAAGCTCAAACTGTCGAGGAACTGAAGCCCTCCCAAAGAAAAGCTGATATACTTTTCCGTGTTTTGAGGAATGCACTCCAGTTTCCTTTTTTTTTATTTTCGACATCTCCTGAAAGAGGAGATGGGCATTGTAGCCTCGCCCTAATGTTGTGAACAACCACGGGAATTAGGGTTTTGCTCCGATCTTATCCGGAGTCGCAGATCGCAGGCGGAGTGGGCTTCTACACGTTATTGTACAGTCAGGTGGCAGGTGGCAAAGGTCCCTCACGGAGTCGAGTAGTTGAAGCGATGCAACAGTTTGAAGCAGTGTGGATCTTGATTGTCTTTGATCCACTTATCCACTTTGACGAGTGATTTGCGTTGAAATTAGGGCCCGATAAATATGTCTTTGAAATGCCATTTTTTTGTGTGTGCCTGTTGGCTGTACTCCCCCGTGTTGGACATGTAGAAAACAGATATGGAGTCCAAAAAGGATTCAGCCACCAGGGGCTTTTCACAGATGCGGCAATTAGTTGCAATGTTGTAATCTTCCCAATCATCTTGCTCCATTTTTATAGGAACAACGTTTCTCAATTCTTCTCTGATCCTTTCCTATTCTCGCAAAAGCGCCTTTAGAAACTCTTCCAAAGCGTTTACCCCACGGCAGAATTTTGTTTCCCAGGCTTCTCCATCGCTTTTCACCAACTTGTACGCATAACCACATGCGGTGTGTTGGCTTGTTTACACAGTGTAACTCTTTTGTAGGTTTCCTTTGGAGCTTTTTATTTTGTCAATTATTGCCTCGAGGTCGGCATAAATAATAAATGGGACTTTGAGCTGCTTGCCCACGTTTTGAAAGAAAACGTGGTTTTCACCCTCTCTGGGCATTTCTGTTCGCGTTGGCCTGCTGTTTAGACCTGTGCAGGCCTCATCGTGATTTTGCAGTATTCCTTCTGTTGTGAAGCTTGACAAGCACCGCATGCAGGCAGAAGTGTTTTCTTCCTATATGCTTCGTTTGGTCGTACAACAAGGCGCTCAAAGCAAAGCTCAAAGCGCTTTTCATAAAGGAAAAGTGCTAAGTACCTCCAGGTGTGGTCATCATTAAGTTTATCCGAGGAACTCCTTCCGGTTTTTGACTCGTTCTGTACACAGTGACTCTTCCGTTCCAACCAAAAACATTGAGCGCAATATTTTAATTTTGCGCTTCAAGCTTGTCAAGGTCTTTTAAAAGGGTTGGAAAAGCAATTCCTGAATAATTGATCCCATCGTATGTGAGATAGCTGGTCGTTCTGCATGGATTTTTTCCCTTTGGTGTAGGGACCAATCCTGCTCGGATTGACCATTTCAGGCATTCATCATCTCTTTTATTCTGCAAGCTGATGATTGCTTTCTTGTCTTGGAGCTTTTTGGGAAGTGGCATGTATGTTCCAACAACTGAGTGGTTCATAATTTGACTCGTTTACGTAGGCTGTTTCAACTTCTTCAAATATTATCTCCGGCCCGTTTTCGATATAATTCTCAATTCTGTTGTTGACTTCGTCCATGAACTCTATCACTTTTTCTCTGATTTCGTTTTCGTTTTGAATAACCCGATCCTCATTTTTCATGTAATTACCAAAATGGGTCATCTCGCCATCTTCATTCCTTTTTGCCATTCTTACTTCGACTGAAAATTCTCTTTATCATGCCCAGCGACTGCATTTCATTTTTCACAACATTAACATACTTGCTTTCGTTTTTTCTACAAAATCTATAATATCTCTATTTTCCCCCCTTGGTGCATCCATTTTCCATACATGCTGCCAATCTCTAAAATCTGTTCCCGCCTGCCAAAAATAGAGTGGATCGGGGACGTTTTCATCTTTAAAGAGGCCGTAAAACAGGTCCAGAACGTTGTTCTAAAAGCGTCCGGCCGCCATCGTGTATATATACTGGGACAATTCTCATCTCTAATTGGTTTTCTCCTCTCTGAAAACGACCTTTCAAGCGTTGGAGGTTTCTTTGACAATGGTGCAGGCTCTTGGTTGCTGAAACGATAACCTCGTTTTTGCGTTCCAGTTTCAGGCCGGTTTCGGTTTTGTTTTCGCTTCTTTCGCTTCTGACACAAGAGGGTAGGCTGCTCGTTCGGTGTGTGGGGGGTGGCTTACGAGTTGTGAACAAGGTGTAACAGAACCTCCACTCTCTATACTACTGAGGTAATTAAGTACCTTGAGGCTAACTGCCTTACTGAGGATTTTTTAATCTGCTTACAGAGAATTTCATGGTACGGAGACTGCACTGATCCATTTCCACAACTGATATTGGGAAATATCAATTGTTTTGCAAGGACTAAAAAAATCCGGTAATATGTCTAAAATGTGATAACATTTATTTTTAAATAACTTCACATTGTCCACGAACATTGAGCATTGGAAGTACAAATCCTGTATTACAATGCGTGAGGATTGTCTCGTACTTGTTATTTCTTCTTACACGTGACTCTCACTTGTAAATCATCCTTCTCAGTTTCATTTGCGCAACATAGGCTTGATTTGCCAGTCTAATACATTTGAAACAACTACTGTTCCTATCACGCTTTTGTTTTACATCAACACTTGTCTATTGTAACTCACTTCTATATTTGGTTAACCGAACTATCTACTGAAAATTTCCTAACATGTACAGAGAATGCTGCCGCTCGTCTCCTAACCTTCCGATAAACGTAATAGCCATATCACTCCTGTGTCGTTCTCATTCCACTTGCTACCTGTGGAATTTGTAGTCTGGTGACTATTCCATTTTCAACGTGTCCCAGCACTTACTCTGTTCGAGGAAATGATGTTTTGTTTCTTAAACCATTCCATGTAAAGACATCGAAAACACTGGGGACCAGGTTGTTTGCAGTGATGGCCCCATCTCTTTTCAATGCCCGGCCATCTTTGAAACATTAGACATGAAAAGAATTTTACCCATTTTAAAACCTTAGTAAATACTTTAATGTTTAAATCAGCCTATGACTTTTGATTCATTATTATTATTTATTATTGTTTTTTACATAGTTGATATTTATCTACATATATTTTCTTATCATGACTTTAGTACAAGATAGTAAAACAATTTTCATCTTTATCTTTATTACAATCTATGGATTAAAAACCAAAGGATGAACTGTAAAGGAGTCCTAGACCCCATATAAAAACAGATCACCTAAAAATATATAGAAACACAATAAAATAATAGTTTCAGAAAATACAGAAATATAAAAGCTACTTAAAAATCACTGAAAAATTTCCTAACTCTAAACTTAAAAATATTTACATTATCAGAAACACGAATGTCTAACGGTAGTTGATTCCACTGGTCAGTAATTCTATGGAAAAAACTACACTTCAAGACATTAGTTCTGGCATATTTCTTCTTTAAAGTTAAAGAGTCCTTAGCCCTAAGTGAGAAGTGGTCAGCTTCTGAGTGGAAATCTATAAGTTTATTGATGTCAATATCAATGTTGCCATTAAGTACTTTATATAAGAACGTCACGTGAGCCAGTGATCGTCTCTTCTCCAGTGACATGAGGTTTAACTTCTTCAAACGAATGTCATAGGGATCATCACTTTTTAAGATAAGTTTAGTCGCTCCTCTCTGTACTCTTTCCAGCTTATCAGTATTTCTCTTTGTATATGGGGACCACACCACCGAACAATATTCCAAATTTGAGCGGACCAATGAGCAGTAAAGAGTACGCAAGGTCTTAGGGTCATCCAGACCTTTACAAGTTCTTTTAATCAGACCGAGCATTCTGTTAGCCTTGGATACTATGTAATCTATATGTGGGTTCCATGATAAGTGATAATTTGTAATAATCTCCAAGTCCCCAAGTCTTTAAACTCTTTAACTTCTTCTAGTTCAGAGTTTTCCGGGAAAAAACTAGAAGTGAGTGGTTGAATCTTCTTAGTAATTTTCATAATTTTGCATTTCTTAACATTGAAGTTCATGAAATTCCGAACACTCCACTGACGCAGACTATCCAGGTCCTGTTGAAACAATTCAAGATCACCAGCCGGGTCAATGATTCTAGAACATTTACAGTCATCAGCATAAAGGGCAATAGTACTGCCAGGAAGTACTACTTTGGGAAGGTCACTAATAAATATAACAAAAAATAAAAACCCCTAATAAAGAGCCCTGAGGAACTCCAGATGAACACCATTGTAATAATGAGCCAGTGATCCCAAAGTTGCACAACTTTTGCAACAAACTGCATGGTTCACTTTGTCAAAGGCTTTGGAAAAGTCTAAAAAGACTACATCAACTTGTCTACCTTTATCAAAGGCAGTAGCCCATTGATGATAGGTTAAAATCAGTTGAGTCTCACAGGATCTACCTTTAATGAAACCATGTTGCCACTCAGTTGAAAATGGTGAGACATGATCATAGATAGCAGAATGAACAATACGTTCTAAGCACTTGGCCGGGATTGGCAATAACGAGATAGATCTGTAGTTGGTAACTAGCTCCCTGCTATCTCCCTTATGAATTGGGGTAATACTGGCTGATTTCCATAAAGTGGGCATTTTCCCGGTTCTCAGGGATAAATTAAACAAAAGGGCAAGTGGAGTAGAAAGCTCTTTTGCACAAGTACGTAAAATACGGGCTGGTAAGTTGTCCACACCAGGTGCCTTGTTTACGTCGATCTTACTTAGAATTCCTTCATGCTCTGGAGCTGTTGTTGTAACTTCAAATAACAAGTTCGGATTAACAACATCTGTGGCCAACAGTTTAACATCAGTAGTGGATTTAGAGTAGACTGAGTGAAAAAACACATTGAATAACTCCACTTTCGAATTCAAGTCTCTAGACCTGGTGTCTCCATAGATAACAGTTTCAGGAATTCGTTTTGTCTTAGATTTGATAGAATAGAATGCCCAAAAATGCTTGGGATTTTCCTGGAGTTTTCCAGACAGAGACTGAAGATACTGTTGATAGCTTGAATTAATAAGCTTCTTGGTCTTCCTTCTAAGATCCTTAAATTTCAGAAATAAATCATCAGATCCATTAGTCTTCAAACGTTATCAATCCAAGGAGGCCTAGAACGTCGTTTCAGAGTTCTTTGTGGTATGTGATGGTCAATTGCACAAAATAACATATCCTGAAATTTATCTAAACTTGTATCAGTACTAGTATCTGATGTTACCAGGTCCCAGGGTAGGGTTCTTAATGACTTTCGTAAACCATTAAAATCCCTNAATAGAATGCCCAAAAATGCTTGGGATTTTCCTGGAGTTTTCCAGACAGAGACTGAAGATACTGTTGATAGCTTGAATTAATAAGCTTCTTGGTCTTCCTTCTAAGATCCTTAAATTTCAGAAATAAATCATCAGATCCATTAGTCTTCAAACGTTATCAATCCAAGGAGGCCTAGAACGTCGTTTCAGAGTTCTTTGTGGTATGTGATGGTCAATTGCACAAAATAACATATCCTGAAATTTATCTAAACTTGTATCAGTACTAGTATCTGATGTTACCAGGTCCCAGGGTAGGGTTCTTAATGACTTTCGTAAACCATTAAAATCCCTTGATCTGTAACAATAAACTTTACGTTGAGTATTTCTTGGCCTTGTTTTCTTAACATGTAACTTGAATGGTAGAGGGTGATGATCAGAGTCAAAGGCATTTGGATGCACCAAGACGTCGTCGACAAGAAACTCATCGTTTTCATTGCTATTCTGCACCTCTATGGCACACGCGAGGGATACTAAGATATAAATCTGATAAATGGGCGAAAATGCTAATGAAAATGTTAAACTCACTGGTTTAATTAAGTTTAGCTGTGTTATAGTTTGTGTAATGTTTATGTAATTATACAGACTGTACATATCAGCTCAGTCTTCTTTTTGTTATCATATACAATATTTCTGTTCAAAATCATGGGGTGCCTATTAATGCAAGGAATAATTAAACTGGTTTGCAAACTTGTCGAAACAACGTTTTGTAGCAATAGCATCCATTTCGTTTGCCACACGCTTCATCGCTTTCTTATTTAATACAATCTTTTCTAGCCGAGTTTTTGCTGTATTATTTGCCTTTTTCACATCTGTCAGTCCACAGCGTTTAGATTCATTTTTTCCATTTGGCTGGCTTTTTCTCTTCTGTTTATTTTGACTTCCTAAATCTAAGCCTGTGGCAGCTTCAATCTCTTCACCAATCTCTTTCCAGCTTGCTGTTGCTGTTGAATCAGTGTTTAGTTTTGTATCTGTGCATGCACTTCTTCTTTCTGAGGATGAGGTAATATCAAAGTTATTTACTGGTGCACCTGTTTCATCTCGAGGGATAATCTTTCCATGAAAAGGACATTTTACTCTATCACGCCTGGGGCAAAGTTTGCCACTTGGCAAAGGGGCACGACAAGACCATTTGACAGGTTGAAAGCTACCAGAAAAGGTTATCATTCTGGTGGGCCTGGCTTCCCTCTCACTACCTATGATGTATTCACCCTCGTGCTCCTTAGATGCCCAGTTGTTGTCAAGATACATCTTAACCATCCTATGAGTATTGGCAGCAGGATCATCCCAGAAATAAAGATCCATATCAAATGGAACAACTGGTGCTTTTTCAAAAAGGCTCTTTTTCCTTTCATCTGCCACTTCTGTTGTGGTTCCCATGGTAGCTGAAGAGCTGCTGGGAACTGGAAGGTGGTCTTTAACATTATAGAGGGCTGTTGCACGTGACGTAGGATCCCCAATGTCTCTAGGGTCTGCACCAAATTGTTTCAAGAAGTCAGTTTGTTTATCAATTTCTTTAGAGTTTTGCTCTGCAAGAAAATAGCAAAAATTGGATTAACGATAAGTTAACATCAGTCTGTTGTTAACAGAGCAACATCAGTGTGTTCATTAGCTTGTTCAAAGGAAAAGTGTATGAAGACATCTTACACAAGATGCTTTGAAAGTGTTCATTTGGGCAGTGTATAAAAAAAGATATCTTATAGGTATATTTTGAATGTTGTGGAACAATGCCAATGCTAATATT